ACCGACCTAACATATGTATCAAGATATAAACTTTATCCTGTGGAGACGGCCAGAAACTGCCCGTTTATATCTTGATACATATGTCAGAATATAATTTGCCAATGGAGACCGCTCATTGCTCTTCGAGAGCAATATATATCAGAGCTTATATNCATATGTCAGAATATAATTTGCCAATGGAGACCGCTCATTGCTCTTCGAGAGCAATATATATCAGAGCTTATATCTTGCCATCTATTGCCGGCAATTTGGTAGTTTGACAGCTACATTTTCATTTGCACGAAAACTTCGTGGCTGCAACATCATCATTATTTTAATATAAAAGCAAAAATTGAGCTGTTTCCTGTTAAAATATTTGTACTTATGTATTTGCTTGTAAAATAGCCTATTTTTTAATTTTTTAAGCGATTAAATCCGGCAAAAATACGTTTTCGAAGCTATCATACAAATGCTTATATATCTGTGGAGACGGCCAGTAAAAGCAAAAACAAAATACAAGTAATTGTTGTATTTGTTGAATCGATACCACCTTATATGAATTCGCCTTGCGCTGTACTTTGCGTAGCTGATGAATGCTGTGTTGAGTATACGTAAGTATTTTTGTATCATAAAATAGTGAGTATTGGTCATATTTTGCTTGCAGGCTTTGTTTTTAATGCTGTTTTTTTTATACATACATACATATTTCAGAAGCATATAAAATATACAACGGATTTTAACAATAATGTTATTGACGAAAAAGGGTGCAAGGAGGTAAAGTGATTTCGCATAAGAGCTCTCTTAATGATTTACATACATATATAATGCACCGTATGTGGATATGTATTTATGTTTATTGCTTGCAGGCATTTATAAATACTTACATTGCCATGGATGTGGAAGATATAGTTCAAAAAATTAAAGCCGGAGTTTATAATCTATCATGGAAGGAAAGGCGTAATAGTGCCATTTGGAGCATTTTTGCAGAGATCGAAAAGGAAGACGGATTCATTTTGCAAGGTTATTTATGCTGTTCCAAGTGCATGCGTTTATTAAAATTTGATGGGAAGCGAACTTCTAACTTAAACCGACATAAGTGCTACTCATCTTTAAATGAGTCGGCAAGGATTGATAAAATTGATTTATCAAATGAATGCTTCTCGTCCACTAGTGATGCCGACCAGAATTTCGAAGACAGTGATCCGACTGTGGCGGAAAGTGAAGCTAGTGAATCGCAGCATTGTGAGGTAAATATTTTGCGAATTTTACATACATATTTAGCGTCCCCGTGATGCTAGAAGAATCAATGTGCAAATTTAGCAATCTGAAGTTATTGTGTTGACTTGATTAGCCTTTGGAAGTTCTTTGTTATACCAAATCCGAGAATTAGAGCTGCAAAACTATCGATGGCACTATCGATAGTTTCAATTTGTCACTACTATCGATGAATGGTGGTCACTATCGCGATACTATCGGCAATCATTTTCATCGCTTTTTTATTTTATTATTGGATGCGAGTTATAATTCCTACTTGAATTATAATTCCTACTTGAATTACTAATTCATAATTAGTTGTGCGATCGTGCATGTATGTAGGTATATACAAACTATGTTAGACAATTTTTTTTATATGTAGCAAATAAGCAACACCTTCAACAAAAAAATTGCACAAATTAACGGTAAAACCTGGGTGCTTCAAACTTCCACTTTATACTAAAATTTAACGGACTAAAAAGTACATACTCAAATTTTTTCTAATTAATATATTTAAAAACTACATTTTGATGCAACTTCTTCAAATTTTCCATTTTTTTTTTTTAACGTTTGAAATAATGACTTGCATGGTTTTTGTTGCATAACGAACTACATATATTTTCATAAAAAAATAATAAAAATTAAATAAAAAAAACAGGATTAGCTAAAACTTGTTAAAATGTCCTGTCTCCATTTATATTTTTGCCGATGCATTTATAGTTTTTTACATATTTGGCTGGTTAAATCGAAGACCTTAATCTCATACAACTGACTTCCTAATGAAAGGAAATTAATTAAAATGCATTGTTTTTGTTATTTAAAATATCTAGCTTTGTTATGTTTAATAAATCACACTAAAATGGCGTTTAAAGCTAGCCTTCATATTTTTTCTACTAATTTTACCATGTTCAATATAATTCGTGCCGTAGTAAGGATCTCATATTTTTTCTCAAGATTAGCCATCTATTAAGCGAAGCGCACATTAGCGCGATTCCATCGTTGCGAATACGTTGCGAATTCGGCTGTTAACTTCGAATCCGCAAACGTGCGCACACTTGAGCGATTTTTTCGCGTCGATTTCCGATGTACAATTCACTCAATTTTCCCTTTATTTCGTGTATTTTCGCACTCGGCGTGCCCAAATCGTACAAAATACTATTATTACGAACGTTTTTATTAGTTTTTGTACATTACACGTATTTTTTTCTTTGCCTTTATTGCTGTGACACCTTTCTTCTTCTTCTTTGACGCCTTCAAAACGCTGCAAGCCGCGTTTCGAACGCGTCAATAGAGAGGAACATTGAATGTTCGAAAAATTCGCAGCGCATTAAAATGTATGGGTAGTATTTTTGTAATTTTTGGGCTTGCGGATTCGCAACGACAGAATCGGGCCAATGTGCGCTTTGCTTTACCAACAGTATCGATACTACCGAATGGTGAGGCCCAAAACTATCGAAAATATCGAATGGTCCAACGATCGATATCGATAGTTTTGCAGCTCTACCAAGAATACAATCCGGACACGAAAATGGCATATTTTAAAATTGCAATTACATGAATATGTGAAGTTGTCTCACAAAAAAAAACTTTCAAACTTGATTTCCCAACATTTACATTTTTGCACATTCATGTTCCTGGCATAAGCGGGAATCGTGGTTCATGCATGAACCAATTAGATTTGTGTAGGTGGATCATGAGTGGGAATGTCTTATATGAAAATTTGATCATGTGTTCAACAGTCACCACCTAAACTCGATCTCTACGGCGGAACTATCAACTCATACATTAAATTAGATAAAGCCGATGCATCCTCACCTAATACAGAAACCAAACCAAAATGTTGTGAGGTAAATATTTTACTTTTATTATATTTATATTTATAAATTAAGTACAGTTGTCCACATAATAATAGGAGTGCGATATTTTGACCAGTTTTGGCTATTTGTTTGTTATTTTTTTATAAAAGTCTAGCTGGTTGTACAACAAACACCATATAAATTCAGATTTCAAACTTTGTACAAGAGTTATAAAAATTTCGCAAATTTTCATCCAAACTTAAAGCTTTTTAATCGGAATCCTTAGACAAAATTGTGGTATGCAGTTTTGTAGCCCATTTAATTCTGCTAAAAAATTCCTTAGATTTTTGGCAGTTTTCTTTGCTGGCAGTGTCCTCCCATGTAAAAGAAAGTTGTCGAACATACTTTGTATGGAAAGAACGTGAAACCCTTCAACCAAAAAATCAACGGGGTTTTTTAGCAACTTAAACTTGCACTTTATTGTACTATAATTGAATGGGCTACAAAACTGCACAAACTAATTAAAAAGTTTGAAATTTGTGTGAAAGTTTGTGAAATTTCTATATACTTTGTGCAAAGTTTGGAATTTGAATTTATATGGTGTTTGTTGTATAGCCAGCTATACTTTTTTAAAAAAATAATAATAAACATTAAATTAACAAAAGAGAAAATGCCAAAACTGGTCAAAGTAACGCACCCCTATTAAATTGTGGACAACTGTATATCTACCTGCATGTCTATTTTATTGGGCTACATCTAAAAGTTAAGTGACATTTTGAGCAGTTTTGGCATTTTTCTTTTGTTTATTTAAATTTTATAATTTTTATATAAAAGTCTAGCACATTGCATAACCAGTACCACATAAATCCACATTTCAGAATTTCTAGAAAAATTTTAGTTATGCACTTTTATACCGGATTAAATTTTAGTAGGTTAAAGTTCACATTTTAAGACGCTAGGAAATCGCGTTGATTTTTAATAGTTTTTTCTTTCTGACGGAGCTAGCCATTTTCTTCCATATAAAAGTAATTGTCGAGCTAAATAGTCTGAATAAAAAGTTTAAATTTTTCGGGTGCAATTGTTAAAGTTTGTAGAATTTTTATAATTTTTGTAGGAAGTTTGAAATGTGGATATATGTATGTGGTGCCTGTTATGTTATGCGCTAGACGTTTATAAAAGAGTTAAAAACAAGGAAGGGATTTTTAGGACCTAAAAACCTATACAAAAGGCAAAAATAACGAAATAGGCTAGAAAAGGCAAAATAAAATTAGCGAAATAGGCAGGAAAAGGCACTAGAAATCGCAAAAAGGCAAAAGAAGGCACCAAAAAAGACAAAAAACGGAAAATAGTAAAAAAATATATTTAGTTTAGAAATGTTTATTTTACAAGTAGAAAGAGAAGAACTATGAACTATCTGAAAATTTTCTACTTTGAATCTTTGACTTTTTTCTCCTTTCGAGTTTTTAACTCACAAAACTTTAATCACTATAGTTGTAGTAACATTGAACCACAAGATGCATTTTGAAGTTTTCTGGCAGCATTTTCATTCGACTATCGTGAAGAAAAGCCCTGATTGTACTAAACGTGTGCTCGACGTGAGTTGATACAAGTGGCGCTCATTTTAAATATGGAACGTTTAAAAGTTTCATATTGTCAGTAATAAGGGCCTTTTCCTTGCCCTTTGCAATTAAAGGTAGAAAGGGCAAAAAAAGGCAACATCAAATGTGTGTGTATATATGGAATCAGGGGAAGCTAAATCGTGGACGTTCTTAATCGAATATACTCAATCTCTTTAGCAGTAAAAAAGGCAATTTCCATAAAATCCGTTCCCTGGTTATAAAAAATGAATAGACTGTGTCCAAAACTGGTCAAAATTACACTTAACTTAATCAGTTGACCATAAGTGTATATACATTGGGTGCATTTTTTCGACATTTTTTCTGCCAGATTCGGATTCTACATAAAATTCTAATACCATGTCCCCACCAAAAAGTTAACCAGTGAACAGTGTTCGGACCTCTAAAACTCGATTCAGGAAAATCAGCACAAAAACAAATTTTCCGTACTAGATTTTCACCTTTTATTTTCGCTTTCGACATTAATTGTATGACTTAAATATTTTCTATTCANCCTAAAACTCGATTCAGGAGTAAATCGCTTCAAAAATCAGCACAAAAACAAATTTTCCGTACTAGATTTTCACCTTTTATTTTCGCTTTCGACATTAATTGTATGACTTAAATATTTTATATTCATGCAAAAATAAAAAACGCGAGGCAATGGAAGGATAATATTTTGGCTCAATCCTTATCCATACGTCCTGAAATATACTACCAGACAGAAATGCGATTGCTTTATAAAAAAGAAAACCATGAAGAACATGAGAAATAAAAAAACAAAGATTTGAAGTCAAGCGGAGCAGAGGAGTAGATTTAAAATTTTTACAAAAACCGAAGTAAATCTAATCTGATCGGAGGTTAACTCTGAACACCGGTAGGGAACGATTTTTTTCAATTTTAACGCCGATGACCCACAGATGATAGGAAAAGACAGGGTTGTATCAGACTTCCGACGTGGTTTCGAGTTCGTTAGCTCAACTTGAGGTTAAGTTGAAAACTAAGGTATTTCTCAAATCTTCACCGTTGTTTCTCGACAGTACCTCAAGTGGAGGGTCATAGCGTTCTCAACAAAAAGGACTTCTTTCTTTGTATGAAAAAGTAGTGTTTCTCAAGTTGAGAAAAAGCTAGTGCTCCAATATGATTTTAAAATTTAAATGGTAAATAATTTGTACCATTTTGATTGAAACGACAATATATATTTACTTGTTTATTGGTTTTATAATATATAGTTAATCAATATAGTATTACAATAATTCACAGTCAAGTTTTTAGTCGTCCGTCTACAGTTCGACAGTCCACCACTTGATTCACTTCGCGTTCTATTTTCTTTGAAGATATTATTTACTTTTTGTTGGTAATTTTTCTCTTTGTATTAGCACTGCGCGACACTAAAAAATACCTGGGAAGTTATGTATATTTTCTGGTAGGTCTTTTCGAGTACCACCAGAATCGAAATATGAAATTTGCCAAACACCCCCAAAATCTTGATTTACCGTTAAGAAAACCGGTTTTTCGTATTTTTGCGTACTTAGCCTGTAACTTAGTTCATTATCAACCGAGCTTCGGTTTATTACCAGTTCTAAAAAGAATAAACTTGGGCCTTTCGAACGATATGTATGTAAGTGAGTAAAGAAACCTTAAGAGATCGGTGTGTATTTACCCAGCAAACAATTTTTTTTTACTTTTTTCGCCTTTTTTCAATTTTGGTGGGGTTTTTACGCACTATTTTATAAGAAAATCATATTAGTCCTAAATTGATTGTAAAGCCAAATTAAATAACGAAAAAACTGATGTTTATTTTCGAAAATCGGATGAAAGTTTACTGAGTTGTAATTCTATTAACAACCGTTCGTTTGTATGTACATGAAAGCGCCACAAACGTTCACCATGGTTAGGCTATTTACAATAGTTAAACAGTTCACAAATAGGCAAACTTAAATTTATAAACTACTACAATTCTGGTTTTACTCGAAAATACCTACCAGAAAATATATATATCTTTCTTTTTTGTAGCACTGTGTTATTCACAAAGCTCAAAAGCTACATCAGCGTGATTTCCTAGCGAGGCACTAATAAAAGGAATAAGTTTAAAAATTTCAAGTCAAGATTTCAGTTGGTTGCCTATTAAATTTTGTAAATAATCATTATTTTTATAGCAGAAAAATAAAACTTAATAATAATTATTATCTCTAAAAATAAAATTCATAAAAAAAAAGAAAATCAAATAATAATTATTTTCGTTGAGCGAAAATATAAAACTCAATAATAATAAGTAGTATTTTCAAGCGAAAAAAATAAAAATCATAAAATAATGATTAAATGCCGATTTAAACTATTTTACTCATGATGATGACCGTCCTTGATAAATTTTTTTCAGTGGTCTCATATTTTTTATTTTTTCATTCAATATTTGTTTGTGTAAATTTGTACAACTTACTGGAGTGTTTGAGCTTAATATGGGCCTTTGCTTTGCCCTTCCATATGAAGCTCAGGCACTTTCGTATGAATTGTATATATATGTAAGGCACCTCCTTCCATTTTCAATTCACTTTTTTCAGTTTTTAGATTATTCTCACTTTTCGTGTATTCTTTAATTTCCGCTAATTTAAATTGAGTTGAGCTTGACACTTTTCAAGATTTTTCCACCAAAAATTCTTCTGGCTAAATCTGACTACTTCGGACTGAAGAGAGTCAGTCACTCTCACTGAGTGTTGCTCTCTCATTTCTGCTGTAATTTTTGAGTTAAGAAACGCTTTTTAGTCTCACTGCTGCGGACTATTTCTGGGAGATAAGGAACGCAACTAATAATTCCGACGTATTGACAACCTTCTCCTTTTTTGAAGTCGGTTAAAAATGCTCCTGCCTATCAAAAAGTAATTAATTCTTCATACGAAACACGACCCAATAACAATTTTGTATGAAAAAAAATAGAGATAGATAGCTCCGTTTAAAATTTGGGGTGCTCGAAATTGACTTAAGAGCTATGCTCTAATTGACTTTTTATAGGAATTTTATGTAGAATCCGAAGCTGCTAGTAAAGATTTCGGAACAAATAAACACGCCCTAAAGTACTACATACATACAAACATACATACATATGTATATAAATTAAATATTAAAATAAACATTATTTCAAGACATTTACACGCATTTCCAAGGATCCTGAAGTTATTTTAGAAAAAATTGCCGGCGGTGACTATACGCTTTCACATAAGCGTAAAGGTAAAAGCGAAATTTGGAACGTTTTTGCAGAAATTAGAAAAGGTAACGGATCATTTGTAAAAGGATATGTATGCTGTCGCAAATGCATGCGTTTGTTAAAATACAATGGAAGGAATACTTCTAACTTAAACCGGCATAAGTGTTATTCATCGGCTTTGACGGAACCTCGAATTCAGTTGATTAAAAACTCGTCTTCTGGTTGTGATGGCGAAACGTATTCGAGAGACTGTGATCCAATTGCATCACACCGTACCGGGGTAAGTATTTTGTAAATTGAAAATGCAATTATTTTATAAAATATTGAAACAATTGTGTAAAATTTGCAGCATACTCCACTTCATAAATTGCTGTTCGATGATGAAAATGATATTTCATGTATGTCGACCAGTACAGATCAGCAAAATAATACGGAAGACAAACATACTTCGTTTCACAAAGAGCCGGCGCACTCCGCCCTTAAACAACTGGAGTTTTGCGGTACTAGCAGTAAAAGTTCAAAATTGACGCAAGATCGTACTACAACACCGGGAAAATCACAAAAGTATGCAAAACAACTCGATAGTTTATGTGAAATGATAAAAGCTGATTTGCAAGATCTTCCAGAAGAATTGTTCTTCAATGCCAAATGGAGGATAATGGATGTTTTACGAGATGTTCATAGTGCAAAATTAAAGAGTACGACGACTCAACCAAGCACAAATTGTGGTGTTGGGGAAGTAACAAGTGAGAGTGGCATTTATACAAGTAGTATTAAGGTAGGTCAAAAACTTATGACGGCGGGAGAGATAAAGATGAATGATTGCAGTTTTGAAATGAATGACAGTTCAGAAAACTCATAAGATTAATATGGAGTACGTACATACATGTATGTATGTATGCACATAGTATGTACGTATGTATATGTATATATAGTCATATACATTTGTATGTAAATAATTGAAATAGATTTAAAATACAACATTAGGCCATATGTTCCATTTAAATGATCCCACCGAGTTGTGTATTCTATTGATTTGATTAGAATTCTACTTGAATACATATGTACATGCCTATGTATATATTTGTGGGGGAAACAAGTAAGTATTGAATGACCCGTTTTCAATACGCAAGCGACATTTTAAGAAGCGTCCCAGCCAGTAAAATCATCGTAAACGAGCTCGTAACTGGATATTTTCTCGAAGAGAAACCGAATAAAAAGTCGTTTATGATTCGTTTTCGAGTACTTTTTCGCGCTTGAAATTGTAGAGCGCCTACGAACAGTCGTAAACGGATCGTAAAAGCTTTCGTATGCGAATATTTTATATTAGGAAATATTGTGATTCAAGGAAAAATTACCAACAAAATGAAAACTTTCTTGTGCTGACAAATTACTACAAGCATCTTTCTATAAATATGTTTTTGGCTTATCGCTTACGAGCCTTCTCCAACTTTTGCCGATCGAGAATCTCTCCTAAAATATAATGTTCGTAAAATGTGCGTTTTCTTGTTGGCTGGGGAATTTTTAAGCTATTTGTACAAGATTAAATTAGCGTGTATTTTTTCTTATTTAAACTTGCTCTAGATTGCTCTTATCAACACAGTACACAATATACATACGTATGTATGTATTTACATTGTACAAAAGTACTTATAACTACATAGATAAATTGATATACTACATGGAATTATAAACACAACTTAAGGCACATACTATTTAAGTAATACTTTTGTAAAAAACAATTGGGTTAAATCTGTTCCACATAGTTTTTAGTAAGCAGCGTAGCGCAAGACATTGCTAAATACTTCCTTTTGCCAAACAAAGCTAAACAAGAATAAAAGCTTATAAAAAATGGAGATCATTTGGCTATTACAAAATTCTTTCTTGTTAAAACACTCGAAAGATACATTGATTGTACTGGTGTTAATAGCATTTGGAATATTTGCATATCGTTTCGTGAATAATAAGGTTTCTCATACAAATGCAGTCAGTTGTATAAAAAATAAGATAACTAGGTTAGACGGTGAAGAATATGTTGGTGGTAGGTAATGCTTAAAATATGCAATTCCAAATTCTTTATTTTACTACGTACATTAAGTTTTTTTCCTTTTCCAGCTGAATTCAATGATATTACCGAAAAATATAAAGAGACAAATGTTGACACTTTGCACAACCACTATGTACCAGCACTGCAAGTTGATGAACATGTGCCATTTCATGGTGCCACAGTTACGTTAAGCGGTGGTGCCAAACAACTATTCGAGTTGGCCAACAATCGTCGCAGTGTACGTTCTTTCCGCACAACGCCAGTTCCTTCCCTCGAGGTAATTATGGATTGCATACGCGCTGCTGGTACAGCTCCCAGTGGCGCACATACTGAACCATGGACATTCTGCATCGTCAAAGATTTCGACTTGAAACAACGTATTCGCGATGTTGTCGAAAGGGAGGAAGAGTTGAATTATGCCCAGCGTATGCATCGCCAGTGGACGGCTGATTTGCGTCCCTTGCGCACAACTCATACGAAGCCTTATTTAACAGATGCACCGTATTTAATTTTGGTATTTAAACAAGTATATGGTTATTTGCCAGATGGTGGCCGTAAGCAACATTATTACAATGAGATATCCGTAGCAATTGCAACTGGGATTTTGTTGTGTGCCCTACAAGCTGCTGGATTGAATAGCTTGATAACTACACCACTAAATTGTGGACTCGCATTACGAACGCTACTGGGTAGGCCTGCAAATGAAAAGTTGCTGGTATTATTGCCCGTGGGCTATGCTGCTGAAAATTGTGTTGTACCTGATTTTAAGCGCAAAAAGCTGGAAGAAATTATGCAATTGTATTAAATTTGCAGTTACATATCGCTCTTTTGCATGAATAACGTCACATCTGCAAACACATCTAAGTGGAGAAAAACGTGAACAGTTTGCCTACGCTTCCATAGTAAAAATGAAGACATACATACATATGTACATAAAGTTACGAACAAAAGTATTGTCACAGTGAACTTTTCGAAATATATCCAAAGTTTTTTATTCTTATTTATTTGCGATAATTTTTAATAAAAATATGGTTCACACTCCATCAAAAAAACATAAAAACCAAATCTCCAAACTTTGGAAAATTCAATAAATTTGCATACTAACTTGTAACTTTTTATTCAGAATTTTTGGAAAAATTCTAAGAATGCAGTTTTATAGCCCATTAAATTTTAGTAAAGGAAAGTGCAAGTTTAAGTTGCTAGAGAATCGCGTTGATTTTTGGTTCTTCATACAATGTTCGACAATTATTTTTTGTATGGAGAAAAATTGCCAAAAATTTTAAAAATTCTTAAAAATCTGAATAAAAAGTTGCAAATTATTATATATATATATATATTTTTTTTTTTGATAAAGGTGTTGCTCTTTTTCTTCATTAAAAACAAATTGTCGAACATACCTAGATAATCAGCCTCATTGCGAGAGTCGTGCCGAATGCAAGTCGTTTTTCGAGAGTCGAATCGTATCGAAAATTTAGCGCCATTGCCTAAAATTTCCACTCGACTAGTGTATTAAAACGGAAAAACTTGGCAGCACTGCATAGTTTTCGACAATTTTCGTCGTTTGCTTATTTCAGCACGACAGTAGACAATGCTAATGTTGTCGAGTCGTACAATTCAGCCTAATTTACGACTTACGCAATGAGGCTGAATATGGAAAAAAATGACCGACATCGTAAAAAAATGCCACACATCAACGGTAAATCCCAGCTACTTTAAACTTGCACTTTATTGTACTAAAATTGAACGAGCTAAAAACTGAAAAAAAAAATTAAATAGAAAGCTCGAAAGGTTTACGAAAAGCTATCGATTTTTTTAATGTTCAAAGATTTAAGCTTATTTTCATACAGTTTTTATTAAGGAATAAACCATATTAAGTTTCGCTTGCGTTCTCCTTTTATTTCTTGCAAGCGAGTTGAAATTTTGTTGACTGAGGGCCTGTGCCAATCGGTAACTTTTTTCTCCGTGGTGAGACGGGGTGGTAAAATTTGCTATGGTGTACAAATAAATTGAATTTTGCTGTGCCAAATGCAAAGTAAAATTTGGCAGTTGAAAAACCAAACAAACGCCCGTGCGAAAGCTCTATTTGAATTTATCTAAATTATTCCAATTATAAAATTGTGATGTAGCTTTATTCGAATTGTAATACGCATTTAATTTCATCTTCTGGTTAAAATGGATCGATCTTTGTAAATTTTAATTGAACATTATTCAATATTATCAAAATCACCNGTTCACCACGAGAAACGTCAGATTTTTACTTTGATCCGTCAAAATTTTCTCTTTTCTATCATTTGGCACAGGCCCTGAGTATTTAAAAGCATACTTTTTTCACGAAATTCCAAACGCATTCATATTTTAAAACACCTGGAATCCGCCACTCCATTTTATTATTTTCTTCTTCTTATTTGGCGCTGTAACCGCCTAAGCGATTTTGGCCGAGTCCAAAACAGCACGCCAGTCATTTTATTATTTTAAATAGTCATTAAATTTCTAAATTTGAATTTTGTTTTTGAAAATCAATAGTTCCAAACAACTAAAATTACAGATGAAATCAAGCAAGATCTCGCAAACCAGTCGGTGTGCTAAAAAAAATATGCTTCGTACTTTTTGCGGTCTGCACGTGCGGGATCTCGCAGGAATTGTCACGCAAACTAGATTATCAAGCAGGTAAAGGCGGACAATAACTTATATTTAAAAGGACTAAGAATCAAAGTGCTAGCGGAGATTAAAGCGTTGGGTTCAGAAAGTATTTTTGATGTTAAAATTGTACTTAAAATCGGTAAATTGTACTTTTGTACTTTTAAAAAGACATTGTACTGAACAAAGTATAATTGTACTTAAAATATCAACACCTGCGGGTACTCGCGCGTGCCCAAAACAGCTCAGAAAGCGTTCCTCACGCTAGAAAAATGGGTCACAGAGCGAATACCTTCCACTTTTGGATCGTAAATGTCTTCTTCTTCGTGCCCGAAATAGCCTGGCCTTTTTTCCGGACCGAAATGTGCATGAAGTCAATTTGAAATAACAGCTGTTGTTTGTTTACATCCGATAGCAAATTTTGTAAAATACATTGCAAGTTTCTGCAATATCCCGTTGATTTTTGATATTTTTTTTCTGACGGTTCACAGTGGGGCAAAAAAGGTTGTCGTGGACAAATTAATTTTGAGAGCCCAAATATGAACCGATTTCAAGTTTCTTTTTTACAAACGAAAGATAATTAAATTCTGCGTCGAACTGTTCGAGGCGATTTTTTTAAGAAGCTCAAGAAAAAAAATTGTACGTTTGAATGCTTCCACTTTTATGGAAAATACTTGAAATTAATTTCAAATGCCTGCAGTTATTTAAAAAATTATTTATAAACATTTCTACATAGGATGCCGCTAATTAAGTAAAGTATTTAATTTGTTATCTGTACTAATATATATTTTGAAAGCGGTTTTTGTTTCTGTTCGGAAAACTCGAGAACAGCTGTACCGATTTGTTTGAAATTTTGGACACTTACTCCAACCCCTCCAAGGATGATAATATGAGGGAAATAATTTCGATATATAAAGGGGGCGTGACCCCTCCCATACAAACCAAAATTTGCATTCTGCATATCTCTGGAAGTGTTTATGGTAGAGTACTGCAACTTGGTACAGAGATATATGAAATAAATCGCATACTAAGGGAGAAAAATTGGGGCTATTGGAAAAGGGGGCGTGGCACCTCCCATACAAACCAAAATTTGCATTCTACATATCTCTGGAAGTGTTCATGGTAGAGTACTGGAACTTGGTACAGAGATATGTGAAATAAATTGCATACTAAGGGAAAAAAATTGAGGCTATTGGAAAAGGGAGCGTGGCACCTCCCATACAAACCAAAAATTGCTGTTGGCCCCAATTTTTCTCCATTAGTATGCAATTTATTTCACATATCTCTGTACCACGTTCCAGTACTCTACCATGAATACTTCCAGAGATACGTAGAATGCAAATTTCACGGACAAAAAGAAACCATTACTTCACTTGTCAGGGCAAAAATAGTGGCTGCATTTCTTTATTCATTCTGAACGTTTGGAATATACTTTTTTGTTTACTTATTCTTTAGAACGTTCCTGATGATATGTTAACGTATATTTCAAACGCATTATTTTTATTCCGGCTGTGAAAAACCTGCTATGGAGCTTCAGCTTAAGGTAATCGGTCCCATATTCGCCGAGTGGATTTTTTATTTCACAGCTTTCATGATACAGTGCGAAAAGTACGGGATCGGGGCTATTTATTGTTGTGATGCTGTCATTATCAGCTGATGCCCGGAAGTAAAGCATAGAGTTAGTTGACAGCGAATATGCACAAAGCGCAATGTATAATGACATTGCATCGGCTGACACGAACCGCAGCGAAGAAATATGTGAAGTTAAAATGGCATTTTAAAAATAACTACGCAGTCTATCGAAGTGGATGTCACGTCGTTTAACGCATACATACGTCGCCGTTGAGTGAAATTTGAAGAAAAATCGGAGAATTGGTTAATAAAACTAATATAAAATCGTTAAACGTAACATTTTCAATCGAGAAACGTCGGCGTTATCGTTTGTTGAAATTTTCGCTGTGCAAAGGTCGAAATGCGAGGTCTGTGAAATCGTATTCGATGCGAAGATAATGCAAGTGAATGCATAGAGCAAGGAGGCTTGGGTAAAAATCAAATTGGACATTTTCTTTCGGAATAACGGAAAGAGGGAGAAAAATACTTAAAACTCGAAAAAGAAAAAGTGCACGACTGATAAGTGCCTGAATTCGTGTGCCGTGCTGCAGTGAAAAAATAAAATAAAAAATATAAAGTGAAATTTTTCGTTTTTTTTTCATTACTCTTTGTCCATCCTTTGGTATTTTCTTCCTCATTTGCGCTGTCATCACCATTTTGACAATTCTTCCTCGATATATGTGTTGGAATTGGAATAGCGTGGTGTTTATTTCGTTTCATAGTGCGTGTGTGGTAACGTGGTGAGTTCGTTTACAAACGACTGCCATCTGACAAAAAAGCGACGAAGCGAAAAATAGGCGCGTGTGGCTTGCAAAGAAAGTTGTTGAAATATACATATAATTTTTATTAAATTATCATCGAATAAGTGTACAATGGAGATGTAATTCACAAATTTACAAAATGTGCTACCGATATTTCTAAAAAACGAGTCCGGGGGTGTAAAAAGCACTTCATAGAATAACAAGCAATCGTGCGATAATGTGGTTGAGCAACGCCTGTGGCTTTCCGATAAAATTGTAAGAAAATAACTAATAAAATACACGAATAAATCGGTTGGAAAAGTAATTATTTTATTTGTTTTTTTCTCGTGTGCCTGAATTAATAAAATTGGAATTCCTCTAGTGCTAATAACATTAAAAGGTGAGTTTCACTTATAGCAGCTGGCGTACTATATGTATGGACTTGTGGGTGGAGTTGAAGAAGTTGTGCACATCATTGCACGTCTGTATATGCATACGTATGTACATATGTATGTACATATGCATATGTATAATTTGGTTTTGAATGAAGGTACGGCGAGACAAGTAGATGAAGATATACATATTTATATATATTCCCCAATTGGAATGCATCTTTATTTACATAGTATGTACATACTTACATATATACATATCACATATGTACTAGTTTTTTTACTTTAAGCAGTCCACAAATGTGTAAAAATTTTTTGTTAATGCCTATTCTCTAATATAAACAATCGGAAAGATTCTTAGGTGTCTATACTTTTTTAAAGTAAAGTAGCAGTTAGACGTGGCAAGTGCAAGTCCTTTCCAAATGTCTGTCAAACTGAAGACTTTCCAAAAGTGATAACAGAAGCAGTTAAGAGCGTGTTCATGGCGGAATCATGAACCAATTAGAATTAGAGTATAGTTGGATCATGTGGCGGAATTTTACCGGGTGAAGTAGTAAGAGCAAGAAGAAGAAAGGTTGAATTTAATATAGAAAGATTGCAAACAATTAATTCGCTGTATGAATAGCCAGAAAGCGTCCCTTTCAAAAGACACTTTACATACAAGGTGTGACTGCTCATGCAACTGCATTCTGAAATTTTATAATTTGACAGCCTTTTTGAAATATATTGCATTGCCATGTCGGACACCCTCTTTAAGGTGCGGTTAAACGTCAAATGTGAAATCGAAATTCTACTTTCCCGTGTAAACAGCCAGAAAGTCCTTTTTACAGATATGCAGAAATATTTTTCGGAAATAAAAATTGCAAGGTGTAAAGGAGCGGTTTAACGTGGCAATGCAAGCGCCTTTCGCTGTCAAAATGCGAAATCGAAAGTCTACTTTCCCGTGTAAACCGCCAGAAAGTCCTAAAGTCCTTTGTGCAGATTTGTAAATAAAAATTGCAAGGTGTAACTGCAACTCAAATTACGCAAATTGTTTCGAGAAATAATTTCAACTTGATCGTGCTAGCAACTTTCATTTCCAATCGAGTGTTATCGTGTGACGCGATTTTTGCCGAATTTCTATGAGATAAAAATGTTGCATCGCATTTAAAAAAATACTTGTAATTATTGTATTCTCATGATATGAACAATATACATAAATATTAAAGCATCTGCAAAAAGGATTTGTTGGCTGTTTGCACGGGAAAGTAGACTTTCGATTTCGGATTTTGATAGACAAATGCGTAGAAACAGGGGTTGCATTGCTACGTTTAAGCGCACATTAACGATATTCAGAAAGAATTGACCGCCATGCGAAAAAAAAACATATTTAATTATTTTATATTCTTATAACTAACATTTATTTATTTATCTTTGCAGATCTTTCGGAGTCTTGAAAAAAATGGGAACAATATCCAGTATTTTCATAATTACATCTATTATACCATATAAGCCTGCAGCAGCAGTCGCCAGCCAAAAGTACGCAACAAGTTGACCGCGACTTTTATGAACAGGATTTTCGCGCGTTAGCGTATCAACCCCCTCCCACCGTATTTCATGCCTTTTTTAATGTATGCGTGAATTATTCGTCTTTTCCATATTTACCAATAAAAGAACTCCTCTAAGTTCCTTTGCAGCGTCAAATATACCGATTTTAAAAGATTTGTCGGTTGAAAAAACAAAAAAAAAAAAAAAATAATAATTAGCACACGGAAATGTCACAATTGATAGTTTTAAAATCCATAAAAACTATTTCTTAAACCGAAAATTCAAAATAATTTTACAAATCTTAAAATACAAATCGTTTCTACTGAAAAAGTAATTAAAACGAAATCTACAGCAGCGAAATCTACCTTGCCACAATGAGTCGCTACTACACCAATAGCGGCGGTAGTAGTACCAAAGCGCTGAATTTGACCGCCAGTGCCACTTCGAAGAAGATGACCACGAGACGGCAGGCTGATCACGAGAGTGGTTTCTATGAGCAAGGTACCGATGAGACGCATTTTGCCGGCTGTCACACCTCTACCAGCAGCGGCGGCAGTGGGAAACGCACACGCCAACCCTCTGCCGAACAATACATGAATGGTGGTCGCAGTAAGCGGCAAAAAGTGAATATGGGAATGCCAAGTGCCGCTCATATTGTTGCGCAGGGTCAAAGCAAATCGCACAGACAGGCTGCACCACTCACAGTTACAACTAATAGCAAACAAGAGCAGCGTAATCAATACTATGCCAATAACAATAACAATAGTAAACGCTATTTACCATCTCAAATGCCTCCACAACAACAATCGCAACACCAACAAGTTACCAGCACTTCGGTGTATAAAAAGACCACAGCTAACAACAATAATAATAACAATAATAATATAAATAACAATAAAAACAATTACTATATACAACTAAGTGCAAAAATGAACACGTTACCCGTGGCGGAGACTATCGAAGTGCCTGACAGTAGCGACAGTGATGATGATGATGTTAAATCTAATAGACGAGAGGTAGCTAGTGGAGGTAATAAAGAACGCTTGGCGAACGGCGGTGGCGCATCTACCGGAATACCAACGCTTATTATTAGCGGCAGTAGCAGTAGTAATAGTAACAGTCACTTGAGTGCTACTCAGCAACAGCTTCAAAACAAATTCAAGTATGAGCAGCAGCAGCAACAGAGCGCAAATGGTGCAAGTAGCAGTGGCCAGACAGCAAACAAAAACAGGGAGAGCAACCGCAAGGCTGACGCTCCCAATAACAGCAACAATGCCGAATTGGAGCGTATACAACGGGAAATCGAAGAAGTCACCCTCGTCCACACGAAATGTAAGTACAGGCATCTTAATTTTATCTTGTTCTTGAAGTTACCCTTAAAAAATTTATATTTTAAAGCTTCTATTAAAAGGCATCATAAATCTCTTGCTTATACGAGCCAAATATGGTGTCATTACTTTGGTAATTTTTTCGGACTTTATCGTTAAAATATTTTTTCGGACCCCAATAAAATATTCCTTCAAAGGGATAATGATCTGTCCGATAAAAAAAAAATAAAATAACTAAACTTAAGAAACTTCAACCCTAAAAAGGCTCTACCTTTATCCTTCTTCTCCGCTTCTTTAAGCGCATTTTTTGTTCCAACATTCTACCATTTTTGAGTGTATCTGAGAGCAAACTAAGGAAACGCGTTCCTTCCTCTACCCAAAACAAAAAATTTTGAATACTTTCGGTTACAGTTCAGTGAAGTTTTTAAAATAAACTTTGACATTTTGATTTTTTTTTTGTACGATATAAAATATCCATCTCAGCCGGTTTTTTCGCTGTTATGTTATATTAAGTCCATTTGTTATAAGTTTTCGAAGATATCAAGTAATTCGGTATGCTTTAACAATAAGGTATTTTTCTAAAGTATTTCTAGCTTTTAAAACAGCTTTTTCTACTTTTTTTCACCTATAAACCCAACTACATACTTGTTTTTTATAAAGTAAATCAATGTATTTAGTTTTTTTGCATCCCTTCCTTGAATTTAGCATTTAGATCATTTAGTTTTGCAATCATATCAAAATACCAGGTTGGAAAGCCATATTTTCGTCGTCATCGTCATTTATTTCCATCTTTTTTGATACAAACAATTTTTGTGTCCATCTTTTCGTTTATGGGCGCCTAAAGTATAGGTTGTGTGCTACCAGGTGACCGCGAACAAACGGTTGCTCTAAAGCATTTTTGAATTTGTATAATTCCTTTTGGCGTTGGGATTTTCATTTAATTTTCTTAAAAAAGAGGGGCAAAATAAATTGCAGTAAAAATATATGTACATATAATTTAGTGCTGCAGCGAACGGTAAATGGAAGCGTCGTAAAGCTATTCCACACAGAGTTCAATAACTCATCTATGCCAAATCTTAAATCTTCTTCGAGGCCTTATATCCGTAGTTGTTTTACGTAAGATTCCAAGACACTCCATGCGGCGTCTATTAAGCTGCTCATTAGCGTGGGCCGAAAATCTGGTTTTTTAGAATTTTGATTGGTAATAGCAAAAATATGATTAATTATGCTTTAAAAAAAAATTTGTGTGAAATATGAAATTTTTTGGTCAATATCCTAGGCTCGCCCAAGTCCATCAAAGTTCAAATGATCATGCTTCCTTGCCGGATTTTCTATTTAATTGTTTAAAATATTTGAATAAAAATTGTTGCATATATTGAGAAAAATTTGCTGTGCCAATACTTTGTTCCGGCAGTGTATGTATATAACTACTTACCCGTGCTTGGTACAGAATTAAATGCTTCTGCATCAAAAAGGAACTTTTGAAAAAAAAAAATGTCGCTTACGTTATTTTCGCGGTTACGGCTCGATATGTATGTATGCATGTATTTCAATTGCAATTTTCTTTTTTTGGGTTTTGTTTAATTAAAAAGTTTTATTTTCTTTTCGTTGCACTTGATTTTTGTTTTCTGCGAAATAAGTGCTAAGGCAGTCGGCGTAGAACAGCCGGCTGATATACGCATTAAAGTGGCACAAGGCGGTTATTATGTCGTCATGCCGAACAGCCAATTAAAAGGCCAACGACAAAAAAAAAACTTATTTAGAAAAGCTGAAACTAATACATACATATGTATGTATGCATGTATGTAAGTGTGCTCATTCATTTTCTAGCATTCTAGATTTGTTTTATATCCCAAAATGCGAAAATTTAATTTTTGGCATAAGTTTAAGTGAAATACATATTATCCCAGTGGGAAAAGGTGATGTCTGGGAATGCAAAAGTAATGGATAGCCCCTATAACCTACGCACGAAAAGATGCAAGAATTTCTCCGCAGCGATGTCATGGGAAAGTAATGTGTCGCATGTCGTTTTACGAAACTATAAACAGAATCTATAAATAGAATTAAAAATTAAAATAAAAAAGTATATTCGTGCCACAGGTTTTGAACCCGAGACCAACAACACGGCAGTCGAACACGCATCCATTCGGCTACAGCAGCTGTTGAGATAACGTAAACAAAAAACATACTTGAGTTAGTTTTCAAACTTTTTTTTTTTTTAATTTGTCGCTTCAAAACTATTCATCATCCGCACGCTTACATTGCGATGCATCTTTTCGTTCAACCGTAGTTGTTAATATTTTCTTGGTAGAAAAAGGTAATGCATTCTCATTTTCCCACTGGGATGTTACTCTTTAAGACCCTCTAAAACCATTTAAGTAAGTATGTATGTTGCTATTTTTTTGCATACAGCTGTACGTGGTATAAATTTACAGTCGGTGTAATATTACGCTAACACACCTAAAGACATTCAGCGCATTCGCAGAAAATATTTTCCATATACATAAATATGTAATTTCGAATTCAGTGCGATTAGGGGGATTCACCTAGCAACCATTAAACATGTTTGTAGTAACTTTCATGTCAGTTTCGTTTATTTGAAGTGTGCAAAAAAGTGGGGATTCCCTGATTCGTTCAAATATACATATGTATGTATGTACATATGTGTTAAAACAAAACACCAAAAAAAAGGCTGTATATTAACTTTGTAAAATCGCAGACAAGAGTTATGTATGTATTCTCATGCACTTTTCTCCAAATTCTAGTCAGGAATAAATATCTTTACATAAATTTTAATAACTAAAAGTGACTAATTTTTACTATCTGTGCTGAAATTTATTCAGTATGCAGTTAATCACATTTATTAGTACGCTTTTTTGATTTGTCAAATTTTGAACTACATTTACAATTAGCATCAGTGCAAGCCCAAACAAGAAATACATACATATGTCGCTAAAAGCGCAACCAAGGTCAATATGTCATTCTCGCCGACTTCAGTTCTTTTTTGTTTGTTATTTTGTTGTAGTATACAGTCAGCGTCAAAAATATGAATACCCTGACGTTTTGACGATTTTCTTCTTTTATATTTTTCATACCATTTTTTTTTTTTTTAATTTGTTATAAAAATTTGCTGCCTACGCACTGTGCTAAGTTCGCCATAATTCTTGTTGCTTTTTTCCACTTTTTCATTTGTTAACAACTGCACCTTATTTAATGGGCTACAAAACTGCATACCGAGAATTTTTCTAAGAAATCGAATGGAAAAGTTGAAAATTTTGATGACAATTTTTTGGTAGTTCTTCAATTTTCCCGCGTTATCTATGAAATAGAAAAAATTGATTCTGCTGGTTTTTGCTGTTGAACTAACTATATTTTTATAAAAAAATAAGAAAAATTTGGCATGGAAAATATAAATAAAAAAAACGTGTGGGTCTTCATATTTTTGACGCTGACTGTACGTGTATGCATTTTCCTACGCCAATGTAACGTGCGATGTCACACCACCCAATTTTCACAACGCAAATTTTTTCTATTAGTTTTTTAATTTTTGAGAAATTCTTGATTCTCAAGTGGATGTACAACATTTTTTCCAAGCCTTGATGAAAAATTGCATAAAGTTTGAACTCAAATTGATATAAAAGCTTTTTTAAGTTTAAGATAATTTTGCATAGGAAGAATGTGCCTTTTTGTTTGAGAATGGGTTGGTTCTCCAATTGAGGTACACTTGGAAACTAACATTGGAAATTGGAATAGGTATGTATGTAGGTAGGCTTTTTTGCATTTCAGCGACGACGTGTGATAGGGCCTTTCTATATTAAAGTAACAATATGCAATTGCTATAAACATATGTACATATATGTATACGCTTTATTTAATACATACATATCTACTTATGACGTACGCATGCACATGCTGTACACATGTGCTTATGTACAATCGACTGTTGCGAAATGCAGATAAATTGGTTATGTGCTTACTTAAATATTCCAAAAAGTGGAAGTTTATTTCTACTCATTTGGCACGTATGTACATACATATATTTTATTTATGTACATGTGGACACTTCTTAATTAATTCTTATCCATGCGTGCGTGCTTATTGGCGTATGCACACATTCTATATGCGGTACTATAATATCAACCCCTCTAGGAATACGAGTATCCACTGACCGCGAGTATTGGCTATATATGTATATTTGATATTTTATTTTCAAGCCAGTTTTCAATCGAATCGAATAAGGGCAATTTAAACAAAAAGGTACCAAGTTTTTTAATTCAGAAAAAAACCGGATAGATCGGTTATTTGCTTTTGATTTTTCTAAATGGCATACAGTTTTTGCCATTTCAATGCCAAGTGGAAATTCGGCATTAGTTTTTAAAAACCTTAAGATTATATTGCTTTTTTTATAAGTATTTTCCAAAACACATATGTATGTATTTCAATTATGATTGTTCTCTGTACGCTGTCTCAAGGCCGCTGTAGTTGGTGTCGTACGCTGCAAATTGTCCTATCTGACCAAAGAATCCTTTCTGACCGTTGGACTTCTGCACCCGGAATTATGCTCCGAGAATTCTCAGGTTTCAAATACTCACAATTCAATCATTTCATAAATCAAATTCTTAATCGGAAAAATTTTTTAAGTTCCGCCCTTGAATCAGATGTGGTAGAATAGTATAAACAAACTTCTTACAGCTGCTTATTTGCTAAAGTTCCGGTTTGGAAACACAGAGTCAATTACCCTTATTTTCATTACAAATATTTCCATCAGGCTTACCCATTTACATAGACGCAGCATAGCCTTTTGGCTGGTACACCTATGATCATACTTGTTTACCTCCATATGTGCACTGGCTGTGTATGTGCATAGGTACATACGTGTACATATGTATATCCATGTGCATCAACATTTACAGTGGTGGCTATAGCAAATGCAGTGACAATGGTCGCACATACTATGTATTTAAAAGGAGACATAAGTAAAATAAAAAAAA